AGTTGGTCCAACCGGTCCAGTGGACCAACAGGCCAATTGGTCCAACCGGTCCAGTGGACCAACAGACCAGTTGGTCCAACCGGTCCAGTGGACCAACAGGCCAGTTGGTCCAACCGGTCCATTGGACCAACAGGCCAATTGGTCCAACCGGTCCATTGGACCAACAGGCCTGTTGGTCCAACCGGTCAAGTGTACCAACAGGCCAAATGGTCCAACCGGTCCATTGGACCAACAGGCCTGTTGGTCCAACCGGTCCACTGGACCAACAGGCCAATTGGTCCAACCGGTCCAGTGGACCAACAGACCAGTTGGTCCAACCGGTCCAGTGGACCAACAGGCCAATTGGTCCAACCGGTCCAGTGGACCAACAGACCAGTTGGTCCAACCGGTCCAGTGGACCAACAGGCCAGTTGGTCCAACCGGTCCATTGGACCAACAGGCCAGTTGGTCCAACCGGTCCAGTGGACCAACAGGCCAGTTGGTCCAACCGGTCCATTGGACCAACAGGCTAGTTGGTCCAACCGGTCCAGTTTACCAACAGGCCAGTTGGTCCAACCGGTCCATTGGACCAACAGGCTAGTTGGTCCAACCAGTCAAGTTTACCAACTGGACAGTTGGTCCAACCGGTCTAGTGGACCAACAGGCCAGTTGGTCCAACTGGTCCATTGGACCAACAGGCCATTTGGTCCAACCGGTCCATTGGACCAACAGGCTAGTTGGTCCAACCGGTTAAGTGTACCAACAGGCCAGTTGGTCCAACCGGTCCGTTGGACCAACAGGCCAGTTGGTCCAACCGGTCCATTGGACCATCAGGCCAGTTGGTCCAACCGGTCCATTGGACCAACAGGCTAGTTGGTCCAACCGGTCCATTGGACCAATACGCCAGGTTGTCCAACCGGACTTGTGGACCAACAGGCCAGTTGGTCCAACCGGTCCAGTGGACCAACAGGCCAGTTGGTCCAACCGGTCCAGTGGACCAACAGGCCAGTTGGTCCAACAGGTCCATTGGACCAACAGGCCGGTTGGTCCAACCGGTCCATTGGACCAACCGGCCAGTTGGTCCAACCGGTCAAGTGTACCAACAGGCCAGTTGGTCCAACCGGTCCGTTGGACCAACAGGCCAGTTGGTCCAACCGGTCCGTTGGACCAACAGGCAAGTTGGTCCAACCGGTCCATTGGACCAACAGGCCAGTTGGTCCGACCGGTCCATTGGACCAACAAGCCAGTTGGTCCGACCGGTCCAGTGGAGCAACAGGCTAGTTGGTCCGACCGGTCTATTGGACCAACAGGCCAGTTGGTCTAACCGGTCCATTGGACCAACAGGCAAGTTGGTCCAACCAGTCTAGTGGACCAACAGGCCAGTTGGTCCAACCGGTCCAGTGGACCAACAGGCCAATTCGTCCAACCGGTTCAGTAGACCAACAGGCCAGTTGGTCCAACTGGTCCATAGGACCAACAGGCCTGTTGGTCCAACCGGTCAAGTGTACCAACAGGCCAGTTGGTCCAACCGGTCCATTGGACCAACAGGCCAGTTGGTCCAACCGGTCCATTGGACCAACAGGCCATTTGGTCCAACCGGTCCATTGGACCAACAGGCCAGTTGGTCCAACCGGTCCATTGGACCAACAGGCCAGTTGGTCCAACCGGTCCATTGGACTAACAGGCCAGTTGGTCCAACCGGTCCTGTGGACCAACAGGCCAGTTGGTCCGACCGGTCCATTCGACCAACAGGCCAGTTGGTCCGACCGGTCCAGTGGAGCAACAGGCCAGTTGTCCGACCGGTCCATTGGACCAATAGGCCAGTTGGTCCAACCGGTCTAGTGGACCAACAGGCCAGTTGGTCCAACCGGTCCACTGGACCAACAGGCCAGTTGGTCTAACCGGTCCACTGGACCAACAGGCCAATTGGTCCAACCGGTCCAGTAGACCAACAGGCCAGTTGGTCCAACTGGTCCATTGGACCAACAGGCTAGTTGGTCCAACCGGTCAAGTTTACCAACAGACCAGTTGGTCCAACTGGTCCATTCGACCAACAGGCCAGTTGGTCCAACCAGTCCATTGGACCAACAGGCCAGTTGGTCCAACCGGTCCATTGGACCAACAGGCCAGTTGGTCGGACCGGTCCTATGGACCAACAGGCCAATTGGTCCAACCGGTCCAGTGGACCAATAGGCCAGTTGGTCCGACCGGTCCATTGGACCAATAGGCCAGTTGGTCCGACCGGTCCATTGGACCTACAGGCCAGTTGGTCCGACCGGTCCAGTGGAGCAACAGGCCAGTTGGTCCGACCGGTCCATAGGACCAACAGGCCAGTTGGTCCGACCGGTCCGTTGGACCAACAGGCCAGTTGGTCCGACCGGTCCAGTGGAGCAACAAGCCCGTTGGTCCGACTGGTCCAGTGGAGCAATAGGCTAGTTGGTCCAACCGGTCCAATGGACCAACAGGCCAGTTGGTCCAACCGGTCTAGTGGACCAACAGGCCAGTTGGTCCAACCGGTCTAGTGGACCAACAGGCCAGTTGGTCCAACCGGTCCAGTGGACCAATAGGCCACTTGGTCCAACCGGTCCATTGGACCAACAGGCCACTTGGTCCAACCGGTCCAGTGGACCAACAGGCCAGTTGGTCCAACCGGTCCAGTGGACCAACAGGCTAGTTGGTCCAACCGGTCCAATGGACCAACAGGCCAGTTGGTCCAACCGGTCCATTGGATCAACAGGCCAGTTGGTCCAACCGGTCAAGTGTACCAACAGGCCAATTGGTCGAACCGGTTCATTAGACCAACAGGCCAGTTGGTCCGACCAGTCCATTGGACCAACAGGCCAGTTGGTTCGACCGGTCCAGTGGACCAACAGGCCAGTTGGTCCGACCGGTCCATTGGACCAACAGGGCAGTTGGTCCAACCGGTCCAGTGGACCAACAGGCCAGTTGGTCCAACCGGTCCAGTGGACCAACAGGCCAGTTGGTCCAACCGGTCCAGTGGACCAACAGGCCAGTTGGTCCAACCGGTCCATTGGACCAACAGGCCAGTTGGTCCAACCGGTCCATTGGACCAACAGGCCAGTTGGTCCAACCGGTCCATTGGTCCAACAGGCCAGTTGGTCTAACCGGTCCATTGGACCAACAGGCCAGTTGGTCGAACCGGTTAAGTGTACCAACAGGCCAGTTTGTCCAACCGGTCCTGTGGACCAACAGGCCAGTTGGTCCAACCGGTCCATTGGACCAACAGGCTAGTTGGTCCAACTGGTCAAGTTTACCAACAGGCCAGTTTGTCCAACCGGTCCATTGGACCAATAGGCCAGTTGGTCCAACCGGTCCATTGGACCAACCAAGCCAGTTGGTCCGACCGGTCAAGTTTACTAACAGGCCAGTTGGTCCGACCGGTCCATTGGACCAACAGGCCTGTTGGTCCGACCGGTCCATTGGACAACCAAGCCAGTTGGTCCGACTGGTCTAGTGGAGCAACAGGCCAGTTGGTCCGACCGGTCCATTGGACCAACAGGCCAGTTGGTCCGACCGGTCCAGTGGACCAACAGGCCAGTTGGTCCAACCGGTCCAGTGGACCAACAGGCCAGTTGGTCCAACCGGTACACTGGACCAACATGCCAGTTGGTCCAACCGGTCCAGTGGACCAACAGGCCAGTTGGTCCAACCGGTCCAGTGGACCAACAGGCCAGTTGGTCCGACCAGTCCATTGGACCAACAGGCCAGTTGGTCCGACCGGTCCATTGGACCAACAGGCCAGTTGGTCCAACCGGTCCAGTGGACCAACAGGCCAATTGGTCCAACTGGCCCAGTGGAGCAATAGGCCAGTTGGTCCGACCGGTCCATTGGACCAACAGGCCAATTGGTCCAACCGGTCTATTGGACCAATAGGCCAGTTGGTCCAACTAGTCGGCGCGGGTCTAAACGGGTGAGGCGCAGGTCTAAACGGGTGACGCGTGGGGCTAAACGGTTGACGCGCGGGGCTAAACGGGTGACGCGCGGGGCTAAACGGGTGACGTGCGGGGCTAAGTAGGTGACGCGCGGGGCTAAACGGGTGACGCGCGGGGCTATACGGGTGACGCGCGGGGCTAGAAGGGTGACGCGCGGGGCTAAACGGGTGACGAGCGGGGCTAAATGGGTGACGCGCGCAGGGCAGTGCGGGTGACGCGCGAGCTAGGGAGGGGTGGCAGGGCGCTTCGGGTATTAAGGGGCTACGTTCTATGTGGGCCCATAGAATCGACTAGCTCTGTACCATGTCGAGAGTTGAACGGGTGAAGAATTGACTAAGGGAAACGAGATACGAGAGGATATACCTAACCCTAGGAATCTGAAATGGTACACCTAGACTAACAAAAACTAAACATATGAAATATATGTTGACAGATCCTGTCAGGCGTAAACTTGAAGTAGCCGTAGCTCGGTGCTATCCCGCCCGCGGTCACCTGGGTCACCGACATCGGCGACAATCCGCTTCGTCGTCCTCCAATGTCGCCCTGCGAAGAGCAGGCAGCCGCCGACGACTGCACCCCTCGAGCCTGAACGCTGCCGACTTCGTCGGCGTGAATCACACCACGCTGCCTCGACGTGCCTCCCGCACTGCTGCCGACTTGGTCACCACCGGCGTTGACGCCCACGTCGACGCCGCCCTCGGTGGTCACGGGTCGAGGAGAAGCAGGCCGAGAAGGGTGCTCCGACGCCCACATGCTGCGGAGCCCGGCCTCGACGACCGCCCACGGCAGGTCGCCATACTCGTTGGCCTCGTGCTTTCTCCTCGCGTTCTCCAGCCGTGCCTCCAGGGTGTCCACCACCCTCGTGTCACCTACGGCGCCTACCATAGTGACTACCGCACAGCTGCCGGCCTACGAACACAAAATAGGTAAGTGACAACTACGTCAACCTGACTGAAAAGGTAAGCCGCGTGCCGTCCACGCTCACCGCACCATGCGGAGATAACTCTAACCCATGCCTCCCATCATCACCATGCACCACACACCTTTCTTCTTCCTCCTCTTCCTCCGTCACTGCTCCCCCCCGTCACTGCTACCCCCGTCACTACTACCCCCTTCACTGCTACCCCCGTCACTGCTACCCCCGTCACTGCTACCCCCGTCACTGCTACCCCCGTCGCTGCTACCCCTGTCACTGCTACCCCCGTCACTGCTACCCAAGCCACTACTACCCCCGTCACTGCTACCCCCGTCACTGCTACCCCGTCCCTCTTCGCGCTGCTCACAACGACACATGTTGCCGCTGCCGCTGTCGCCTCCACTGATTCGGCCCGCTTCCGCCGCTGGGAGCTCCCCTGCGCGCGCGTGCTGGCCCCACGCGCCATGCTGCTTCGCCTCGCGCATCTGCTGCCGCTGCTCTCCACCATCACAAAACAGTCTTTGACGCTTCATCTCCGTCGGCAGTCGCTCAATCGTCGCAGTCCGTCGCTCTCTTATTATACGTCGCGCTTAGTCATTGCCTGTTTGTCGCTCTATCGCAGTGGCGCGGGCTTCTACCGCCTCCTCACGCCACCATTGCCGTCGCCGCCGCTCTGACCTGTGCTGCTCGCAGCGACGCGGCTGCCTCCGCCGCCGTCGCCGCTGCTATCTCGGCAGCCGTACCCGTGCTGCGCTGCTGCTCCTCCTCGCTCATCTTTTTCGCAGCACTCCGACAACGCGAATTGGGTTTAATCGCTATCCTCGTCTACCGTCGCTCTCTACCGTCGCTCGTCGATCGTCGGCGCTCGTCGCTCTCTCGTCATCCACCGTCGCTCGTCTGCTGTTCCATATTTGTCGTCCACAGTTCCTCGACAGTCGCGGATTTGTTGACGCTTGTCTCTCTGTCGTCTCCCATCTGTCGCTTTGACGCGACCGCAATGGAGCAACAAGTGACGCCCATCTCGAGTCGAGATCCTGTGTGTCAATATTCGTCGAGTGGAGGCGTGACGCAATTTAGGCTAACTTGAAAAGAATGATTCGATAAACCAACAGTTTTGAGTACGAGGCGTTTACAACTACAAAACTGGATGACCTACGGCTATCTAACACAAAGATAAAGTAGGCAGAGTCGAGGTAGGCGAAGAACTCGGGGTGAGGCTCGGAATATGGCGAAAGGTCCGGTAGCGAGTCGAAAGTGGCTAAGGGCGAAATTGTAGGGCAAACCAGTTAAAGCGAACTCTTCGGAACATACAAGCCAAAGTAATCCACAACAAGAATTTATAATTCCTAATACAAACTAGACATAATGAACCAAATTATAGGAAACATTTAGGGTTCAACCCACTCAATTTCTCCGCATTTTCTACGAGTGCACTTTCAACGACCATGCAGAAATAACTCTATCAACGGGAGCTAGACTACGGGCTAGGCACGGGTGCTCGTGTGATCTCTGCGTTCGTTCCCTTAGTCAATTCCTTGTACGCTCACTAGTTGCTAGTTCACGGGGAGAAGTGGCAAGAGTTCCACTAGCAAAAGTTCACAACAATGGTTCAGAATGATAGCAACAACACAGACTACATCAGACCTAGCAAGGCTGCTGGTCGACTGCCAGCGCAGCACGGTCGACCGCGTGCCAGCACGACTTGGTCGACCGCGCTCCAGCAAAGCAAAGTCGCGGCTTGCCAACGTTGCAAGTCCGCGGTGCGCCAACGCTGCAGCAAATCAACTGCCCAGCGTTGCACCCGCCGGGCAACAATGCACCTGCTTCGCAGGTGCGCGCAGCTGGTTGGTGCTCCACGCCTTGTCACGAGCACAGCGCGGACGCCCAGTTCGGCTCCACGCCAGCGACTGCGCCCACCAGCCACGTCGACCTCAGGATACCACCCCCGAGGTCGTCCTCGCAGAAACCACCCCCGGCGACCTTCGCACACGTCGCCCGGGTATCCCGGTCGACCAACCAACTCGGTCGGTCGCCGGCTGCACAAGCCCGGCGTCCTCAGAGTTCGGTGCCGACACCCGGCTGCTCGGCGTCCTGCTTTTCGATGCCCTCCAGCCCAGCGTCACCCGAATCCCCTATCGAGGTCGACGTCGGCACCCCCTTCGTCGACCACTAGTCTAGTCAACCACTAGGTTGACTGCACCCCTGTCAACTAGCCACCCAAGTTGGGTGCCCGAAGTCGGCGTCACCAAGTCGACGCCCAAGCTCGTCGACCTCGCCAGGTCGACCTCCCAAAGTCGGCGCCTTCCCCAAGTCGGCACCCATGCAGTGGCTCCCGTGCAGGCCAACCAACCTCGTCGACCAGCTCGCTCACTTCTGTAGGTTGGCTGCTCCCCTCACACTCGACCACGAAATCGGCTCCGCCCAAGCGAGGACGGGGCCAACACCCAACTCCCATTGACAGACCAACCATTGCATATAATCATTTGCGCGCTATAACACATACAAACTTGGATAGTGGTTTCGTGAGAAAGTCGGCCGGCTGCTCAGCAGTAGGGATGTACTTCGGCGATATCTTCCCGCGCTTCACCATGTGCTGCAGCCAAAAAGGTCGCCGCTCCATGTGCTTGAGGTTGCCCGTCAACCCCATGCCCTCGGCGACCGTGATGGCCGACTTGTTGTCCACTCGCAGGACCCTCGGCTTCCCGGCATCCAGCTGCCGGAACTCTGCGAGAAGGAATCGAAGTCGGCGGCCTTCCTTCCCGGCTTCGACGACCGCCACGTACTCCGACTCGGTCGACGACAACGTCGCGCACTTGATGCGCTGGCTCGACCAAGAGACTGCGGCCCCTCCGTAGACAAACACGTAGCCGCCCGTGCTCGTCCGGTTCTGCTTGTCGCCGGCGTCGTCGGCGTCCACGTAGCCGACCAGCTCCAGCGTCTCTGGTCCACCGCCGAACTCCAAGGCGGTGTCACGCGTGTTGGCAAAGTAGGCGATGCAGCGGTCGACCTCGCGCCAGTGCTGGTCGCTGTCGGAATCTGCCACTCTTCATCGTCCTCCTTCTCCTCTTCTGGGGCGTCCTTCCTTTGCTCAGTGTCCTTCCTCTGGCCTCTCTGCTGCCTTTCCTGTCATATTCACTAAGAAATGCTCGTTGAGATGCGCTCGTCACCCCCTGCTTAACTCGGCTGGCTCTTGCTTGAAGTGGCTTCTCTAGCTAGGGTTTGGAAGAATGTTTAGCTAATTGAGAAAACATACAAGCAAGCAGAGGCCATACGGCTCTCTGCGCACCTAAGTGCAGCAGCCGGACTTCAGCGCCGCCGCCAGCCCGGTCCCTATGCCCCCGAAGAGCTATAGGATGCCGATCGATCCTTCAAGACACCAGTTCCTGCTAACGCGATCCCGCACTTCAGGCGTCCGCTGCCCCGTTTCCGCCAGCTCGATCCGCTTCGTCCCTTCTTCCGCGTACTCCTGCCAGGTCCAGTCATCCAGCTCCTTGGACAAGTCGGCCTCTTCCGCTCGATAAGCTTCTCTCGGTTCCTTCATGACGAAGCGGACCGGAAGGGTCCCGACTACGCTCTCCGGAACCCAGTAGAGCATCTTCTCCTGCCACGTACACATGGTTGCCCCCACTTTGTACAGCAGCTCCATGCCCACCAGAACGTCATAGTCCTCCGACTGAGAAATCCCGCATTTTAACCGAATGCAGCACTCCTTATCCCTGCCGGGCAGCAGCATGACTTCTACGGGCCGCTTCGTGCTGGGCATCCACTTCGGGTCCCCCCCTTCGGCGGTCATCAGCAGGATTCCCCGCTCTATCTGCATCTCCGGAAGGTCCAGCCGCAGTTGCTTGGCTAGCCTTTTTCCCAATATGACGTGGTAGGCGCCAGTGTCTATGATCCTTTGCCGCACGGGCAGTCCTTCTACCGTCAGGCTCCCCTTCTCGGCAGTCCTTCGCGTGCCTTCGCAGACCCTCGTCACCCAGGTAACCTGGTCGACCGGGCAACCACGTCGACCAGGTGCTCCTGTGCGTGCCCGTCGACCTCCCAAGTCGACGGCCACCTCCAGTCGACCTCACCAGGTCGACCACGCCCTCTGGTCGACCAACTCCAGGTCGACGACACTCCTTGTCGACCACCTCCAGGTCGACCAGCACTCCTGTTGGCCGACCACCCAAGTCGGCTACCCCAGGTCGGCGTCCCCAAGTCGACGCCCTCTGCAGGTCGACTTCTCAAGTCGACCACTCGAAGTTGGCGCCCTCCCAAAGTCGGCGCCCTTGCAGTGGCTTCCGTGCAGGTCGACCAACCCCGTCGACCGGCTCGCCCACTACTGCAGGTCGGCTGCACCCCTACACCCGACCAGGAAGTCGGCTCCGCCCAAGCGAGGACGGGGCCAACACCCAACTCCCGTTGACACTCCCCTGCCGCGTTCACGCTTGGGCCCCCCCAGCCCACACGACAGCACCTCTCGGAGAACAGCTCGTCGACGTGCACCCAACACACAGCACGTCATCCACCGCACCAGCCATGCAAAAGGGCATGGCACCTACTGCTGCACTTCGTCGTCGCCGTCGCCCACGTCGGCCAGACGCACTTGGCCGATTGCAACGGAGCACCGGTTGAAGGCCAGATAGTGCAGCGCCTTCGTGAGGAAGTCGGCCGGCTGCTCAGCGGTCGGGATGTACTGCAGCGCAAACTTCCCCCGCTTTACCATGTGCTGCAGCCAGGCCTGTCGCCGCTCCATGTGCTTGAGGTTGCCCGTCAACCCCATGCCCTCGGCGACTGTGATGGCCGACTTGTTGTCCACCCGAAGGACGGTCGGCTTCCCAGCATCCAGCTGCTGGAACTCTGCGAGGAGGAAGCGAAGTCGGCGTCCCTCCTTGCCGGCTTCGACGGCCGCCACGTACTCCGACTCGGTCGATGACAGCGTCGCGCACTTGATGCGCTGGCTCGACCAGGAGACCGCGGCCCCTCCGTAGACGAACACGTAGCCGCCCGTGCTCGTCCTGCTCTGCTTGTCACCGGCGTCGTCGGCGTCCACGTAGCCGACCAGCTCCAGCGACTCAGGTCCACCGCCAAACTCCAGGGCGGTGTCGCGCGTGTTGGCGAGGTAGGCGAGGCAGCGGTCGACCTCGCGCCAGTGCTGGTCGCTTCTCACCGTGAGGCCGCTCCCCAGCTTGCTGCAGGCGAAGGCGATGTCCGGCCTCGTCGTCGTCGCCGCGAACTGCAGCGAGCCGACCTTCTGCCGGTACTCCTCCTCCTGTCGCTCCTGCGCCTCCTCGTCATCGAAGGTGAGCTCGGCGTAGGCGTCGACCGAGACCGGTGTCTTCGGAGTCCGTCCGCCCTGCTCCTCGTCGATGAAGCGCCTACGCAGCTTGTCGGCGTAGCCCTGCTGGTGCAGCCACAGCTTCCCCGCCGACCTGTCGCGCGCGATCTCCAGCCCGAGGTACTTCTGCACCGGCGAGATCTCGCGCAGCTCAAAGGCGGCCTCCAGCAGCTCCTTCAGCTCCTTCAGCATTGCAGTGCTGCTGCTGGCGGC